CCCCCCCCCCTCCTCTCCTAGACTGCCCCTCTGCCTCGTTGTCTTCAACCGCGTAGGGTGGGCGTGATCGGACGATCGGCGGTAGAAGGCGGCCGGGTTTGAGTCGCGAAACACCAACGATGCAGGTGGATGTGAAGTGCGGGAGCGGGGCTCCGGTGCACGCGACCTGCTTCTCGTTCTCAAGGCCGGCGGGGGAGGGACGATGTTGGCGCTGCTGTGGCGGGGGTACCGCGCGTCATGCGGTTTCCTTCCCGCTGCCGCCGCCGCCGCCGATTTGCTCGGGGGCGGCCACGAGTGCCCCGCCCCTGCCGCCATCCCCCGCATCGCGGCAAGGCCACGGTTGCGGACGCCGCCGCCGCTTGTCGCGGACAGCCTGTTACTCTGCTCAGCAGCCGACGATCGTCTCCCGTACGACGGGCTTACGTCACTCTCGGCGCTTCTGCTTCGCAAAGACACGCTGCTAACCCCTCCGCCTCGCCGGCGCTGCCCCCCGTCTGACAAGGTCAGGCCCCGGCTTGTCGTAGCCCTCGTTTCGCCGCGTGGTCCTCGTACCCCTGTCGACGACACCAGTTGCTGGGGGGACTGACCGCGGGTGCGATAGCGGTGCTGCTGCCCTTGCTGCTGCTCGTACTGCTGGTGCTGCTGCTGTTGCTGCTGCTGTTGCTTGGCTTTTGTCACCTCCGTTGTGACCAACCGGTACACTTTCTCGAACTCCCGCACGTGGGTTAGGACGAGCGCGGCCCGGTGGCCGTCCTGGAGGGCCAGCCACCGGAGGAAGTCCTCGAGGTCTCCGATTCTCGTCGCCTCCGGCCAGTACGGGAAGACACCCTCGTCCAGCCACGGGGTCGCCCAGGATTCGTTTAGCAAGGCGTCCGCACCAACGCTGCGTTCCATGGCATCCGATGACGGCGCCCCTGCTGGGTGTCGTTGCACGTGAGGGGAAAAGAAAGAGGCCGCTGCTGTCATGCCGTTGGAAGGAAAAACGAAGGGGTGTGTGGAGGTGGCTCCCACTTGGTCATAGTCTTAGCTATAAATATTGGTATTGTAGGGCGATATGATTGCAACGCGGTTGTTGGACGTTGTTTTGCAGTGGTGATCTTGTCGGGAAACTCCTCCTATTACTGCTTCTCTCTCTCTCGTTCCTGCCCTTGTCCACAGGAACAAAAAGGCGGAAGATACAGCCGTATACGGCAGGTGGGGGAGTGGACTCCTTGAATAAAATAACCATCTAGTGTATCTTGACCTTGACCCCAGAGGATCGCTGCGAAAGAGAAAGATATTGACTATCGCTCCACATGTGCGGCACAGCGCATACATACTGTAGCACTGCTGTAGAATGCCACAGAGGCGCCCCACCCTTTGATACCTCGTCTTGGAGAGGATAGCCTACACTGCCTTCACCTCTCCAACGAAGATCGGTGTTTTTACCTTCAACACAGCTCCAGTGGCCATGTTTGACTGCTGTGTATTGTAGACCATGACCCGCCCAAAACGCTACATTGCGCTCTACACAAATGCGACTGCGGAAGAAGCACGGCATACGTATGTAGAATACTAGTCAGCATCCACGGGTAAACTTACTCCGAGAAAATAAGGCCAACATGCCTGCGAGAGGTGCCGAGAGACAGACCGAGGGCCCCACCGCGTCAACCGAGGCATGTCGAGCCAAGGGGAAGTGAAGCGGCAACGCTGGGTGGGCACCAAAGGACTTTACTGCTGCTGCTCTCGCCACAACTAACTCACGAAGATGCTGCTGCCACTCCTACTTATACAGCAGTAGCAGGACGTGTCTTTTCACCCGGGCGCGCGGATAAAAACATGCACACCACTCGTTGACATGATGGGTCTACCGATGCTGCCGCCGCTGCACAGGCTAAATCTGTGGCAAGGCTCGGCGCTCACCTGAGCCGCACCACGCCACTGCTGCTGCAGTATACAGAATATCTTTCAGTGTAGTCTACAAGCTTTTTCCTTGGACTGGCGACCGATGGAGGAGGGTACACTGGCTTCTCGGCGGGGAGCGCGTCCTCAGTGTATTTTTTAGCTGGCAAGTACTGCAGCAGCGGTCCGGGTGGAGAGGGATGCAGCACCGGCAGGACTGGGAGACACCTCACCGAGCCACGCGGTACATGCGGGATACAGCAGGAGGAGCAGCAGCCGACACGGACGGGCGGATGTGAAGGCGACGCAGCACAAGCGAGTAAGAGCCCCAGCCCGCGCTCCTCCCGTGAAATCACGCAAGGGCAATGTCTGCTGACCCTTGCCACACGAAAGACACACACACACAAACGACCCACCAGAGGACCTAGGGCTCCAACAGATCAGCAAATCACGATCTCCGACGAATAGAGCGGGACGTGATTGGAGCGCGCAAGTGGAGATCTCGAGCCTGCCTCACGAACCTCGTGGAACTCCCTTTTTTCTGGTTCCCAAACCCCCAATTGTTTTGTTGGGAGCGCCTAGATTCACAATACATGGAGCTGAATACATGACTATTTTTTCTCCCATCATTGGACTCTGTAGTCTGCCCCTCTGGCCCCTATCCTCCACTTCTACAAGCTAGACGACCCAACCGGGTTCACATAGGAGGGGGGGGCTGGACCCCCTCCTGCGGTTCATGCCTAAGGTATTTTTATCGCGAGAAGGGTACAGCAATCCCTTCCCTCCCGACTTACGAAGTCGATTATGGTTTATTTACAACGAGTTTTGCAGCGCGTCGCTTTCATCCTAGACCAGGATTATTTAGTGAGAAAAAAACTCAGTCTCTGCCGGGACTCGAACCCCTGACCTGGCCCTTGGCAGGCTGCGGGGTTACCCACTAGACCACCCACCGGGGCGACCGGTGTATTGTCAGAGAGAACCACAGTCGAAACATCCAGCCTGATGGAAACCTCGGGAAACCAGCCGGGGCGTCCCCGAAGTGGTTCTCCTCCCCCTCCTCCTCCTACGAAGGAAGCAACGGCCAGCTGTTCGTCACGCGGCAAATTTTTGGCACACAGCCTCTGCGGCACACTACAGAGAGGCAGGCACTCCGCTCATGTTCACTCCACTCGCTGCTTTCCCTGGCGCGACCACGCACCCACCAACACTCCTGGCTTCGCGATGAGCGCAGCACTGGGTCCTCGGTACGACAGGCCGCTTGACAACGATGACGACAACGTCTTGAGCGAAGCAGCGGAAGGCCCGGCGCAGGGGGTACATAGCTGGCTTGAGATACTCCGCAGGTGCGTTTCCAGGGAAGGACAGCAGTGTTTGCTGGAGAGAATTACAAGCATAAGGAGATACTGGAGTACAGTGGGGATGTGTGGAGGCTTTCAAGTACACCCCGTCAAATATCATGCCTTTGGGGTGGATGATGCAACACTGCCGTGCAGCAATGCTTTGCACTTTGCAAACATGTGGGCTTCGACTTCCCTCCCTCTCGCTCCGTCTCCGAACTCCGTACCCTCCCGCAGGCGAGCGTGCGGTAGAGGTAGCACACGCCGTTGTCTTGCCGTGGTTACACGCTATCAACCTCGATCTGTACCTCCTTTGCGGTGTCCTTCAGGCCGAAAAGACACCACAGCAGTTTCCGTGTTTGACCACGTTGCCGGGTACTCCGTAGTTTGTTTGCGTAGCTACACAGAGGACGTCTGTTTGAGTTTGGAGCAGTACCCGTGTTACAAGGCAAAACAAACACAACAAACAAGGGTAGAACTGAAGAGGTCGCAGACCACCTTCTGAGAAGTGGAGGAAATACCCTCATCTTTGGTTGACCCAACAGGTTTGGTTCCGGCTGTCACAGGAGGCTGTCACCGCTACATATTGACGCAGTTTCTCGTACATCAGCACGACGACTGACCGCAACTAACCCTTGAATCGCGGTCGGCTTTGTTCGAAGAATGCGTTGCGCTATGGCCGTGCAAGCAAAGACCGGCGTTCCCCGGCGCGGCGAGGTTCTCGGGAACAACTACCACAGCTCCATGCGTAAGGCAACCGCGATGAACTCCGTCCCGCCTGACGACAATCGCCGGTACCAAGTGCGTCCAGCTCTCACCTCACACATCACGCTCGTGACCGTTGTGGATCTCGAGGGCGAGGGTCAAACACCGTAACAGCACTGCGTGTCATCGCACAATCGACTTTCATAGCTCGGTTTGCTCCACTATCACGGGGTTGCCAACATGCCGACAAGGGTTGTTGTGTTGTTGCGGAAACACCTCGTCAAGCCAACGCTTTGCTTGCAGGAGTAGAGACGATTGCGCACACCTCTCAGTTGTGGAGCAATGGACGCCGGCAGCCGGGGAGTGCGATCACCCGTACTCTTGCGGCAGTAGCTACGGCTCTAGCCAAGAATGTGCGAGTAGGCAGCTGGCTGCAAGTGGCGTGGCGGGAGAATTCCACCAATAGTCTTCGGCCGAACAGCGCGCCGTGCAATTCGTCGAACGGACAACGAGAGCCTCAGTTGCAATTGCGTTACTTTTCGAACGGTCTGTTTGCTTCAAGAGCTGCGACCAGCGCGAGGCCTCAAACGAAGTGGTCTTGGGCAAGACGGACTCAGCACACGCACTTCGTTTGGCTGCCGAGTTGAGCTGCACAGAAGCGTGTCCGTCTTGGATGCTCTCTGACCTGGTGGCACGCTCCACGTTCCCAGCGCCGGATTAATGTCACCAACCGTATGCCTAGAAGCCTGGTCCACACCCTAGCTCAGAAACACTTGATGGTAGAAAGTGGTTCCGACTTCGGACTTCAGATCAGACGGGCATCCATGAAATGTTGTGACTTATGCCTGTTCTGCCGCGCATCCCTGCGAGCTAACGGCCAATCAATTGTCGTCGCTTTTATGCAGGTCGAGCATGTTCACGCTCGCCTTGTTAACCCTGGTGGTTGTGCTGCTCTTCGCGGACCAGAACCTCCTCGCCCCCAACCTCTCGGCGATCGCAGAGGAGTTCGGTTTCAACGGTGGGTGAGGAGTAGGAAGCTCGCTAATGGCGTCGTTTTCATGTGTAGTGGCGGCGTTCTCAAGAGCGGGGCACTTTGTGCGCTGGAAAACCGGCGTGCATCCACCAACAGCAGCCTGGCACAACTGCAGTACTGAGGGGCCGTGAAGCTGCTGGTCTTCGCTGGTGAAATAAAGTTGACGGCGCTGTCGATGGCAAACATGGACACGGCATACCTGCAGCCCGGGTCCAAAGGAATATCCTTTCGGCGCAGTGAATTGTGAAGTCGTTTCTATCCAAGGGTTAGAGCTTGTTGTTGATGGATTTTGAAGGCCAATGGGGAAGAGTATGCCGAAGAATAGATTGGCCGGCCGAGGTGCGTCGCCGATTGTTGTGGTGACGCTCTTTTTTATGTGTGTAGTTAAGTTATGCGGAGTAGAACGCTGACCCCGGTGCCTCTTTATTTTGGTAAAACCACGGCATCCATCACGACACTCCACACCGACAACGATAGCCATAAACATGTACCCAAAACCAACCTGTCCACACGCACCAACGCCTACAACGACAAGAACGGTATAACCACATCAACCTTTCAACCACCACCACCCCTTGTGTGACCTTCCTTGGTGTGACCCCGGCGGATACGTGAGATATATACTCCGAACGGTCTGTAGACTAGCGCCAGAACAGATGGGACGAACACACACGCCAAACCAAAAACAACAACTACAAAGAACGCATGCAACACCGACTCATCCATCAACACCAACACCAACAATGGCAACAGCAGCGAAACCAACAACAACCCATCCTCCACCACCATCACCAACAACAACGACTACAAACAACAGCACCAGCAACAGCAAGTGCAACATAACCAACAACAACTTAACCCCCACCGTTACCGACAATTATGCCAGAGGAAGAGAAGGACAGGCACCTGGGTGGTGACATCGCTGTGGCCTTCTTCGGATTCGGGGCACCGGCGTCGGTCCTCGTGGGATGGCTGACGGACGTCATCGATAGGCGGAAGCTCTTTGTCGCCATCGTAGCGCTCGGGGAGATGGGGACCCTGGCGACGGTGTTCGTTACCACATTCTCTCAGGTGCAGCTTCTATTATGGGCTACTGTTTTCTTTTTCAATCATCGTGGCCCTCGTACGTGTGACTATAGATCGATTACCTCTTTTTACTATGGTCCGTTCTAATTGCATATTTGTTATTTCGTCTTCCTGTCTTAACTATGAATGCAACCGACATGTTTGTTTGTGTGCCACGTTCTGTTCACGCCTTCTCTCCGCTCTTTTTCGCTCGAGATTTTCCGGGGCAGAAAGAACAATGCTTTCTTTAGTCGTGGCGTGTTCACTTTCCTGATGCGGCTTTCTGCTTTGTGTTTTTCGGGCGGCGTTTGAGGTAGAAAGGAATGGGAGACACTACCGCAACTACTGATGTGTTGCGTAGCTCGTCTCCGTCCTCTCTTGCAAATCGTTTGCATCATTGCGCTCAGGCCTTGCTGCTGTTCACCGCAGTCATTGTTTGGGTCTAAACTCCAAAATTGATCAGCAGCAAGAAGTAGAAGTGTTAGCAGTAGCAGTAGTAGCAGCAGCAACAGCAGTAGTAGTAGCAGGTGGCTCTTTTGCATGCCGAGTTCCTCTTGCGATTCGGGGGACACCGTGAAGTAATTTATTCTTCACGTATGCATGCAGCGCGAACAATCTTGCCGATTCCTCTGCGCGCGTGATGACCGCCGGTAAGAGAGGGCGCACCGCCAGCTGCAGCTTTGACCGGAACACGGGAGTTGCTTGTCATGCCCGCGCGCCACGCAGCAACACCCAACCCACACACACCCGGCGAAAACCAGGCAAAACGCTCCGTCCCGGCATTGTAGGGATGCGAGTTGTTGTTGTTGTTGTTGTTGTTGTTGTTGTCTTCACATTCAAAACCGTTCCGATCTCACTCTACCCTGTACCTTCGTATGTCCGTACTGATCCGACACTCGACGCGGTCGATTCCCGTGGTCGCAGGCTAACTTATCCTAAAAAGGTACACTCAAATAAACTGGCCTCGAGGGGTCCGCAAGTCAAGAAATCAACCACAGATATTCTGGAGTCCTCCACTCCCTCTGCGCGCTATGCGAGGTATAAATACTGAGACTAGAAGTCACCATCACGGGCCGGCGAGAATGAGGTACACCCCCTTGGTTCAATCTTGGTACTTCACAACGCAAGCAGAGACAAGGCCATCTGGCACAGAAAAAGAGAGAAAAAAAGAAAACAGAGAAAAAGAGAAGAAAATAAAAGGAAGAAGTAAGGAAAGAGAAAATAAAAATGAAAAAGAGCGAGGACAAAAAGGGACCAGGCCGACAATAACAAGAAATAAGAGTAGAAAAAGGCACACGGTGGAGAGACCACTAACGAACAAGTAAACACGCAAACATGGCCACCAACCAGCGATACATTGTTATGGTACGTCATCACTAGTGGGGGGTTGGTGCAATGGTGCAGCGTTGGGGAGGGGAATTGGCTAGAAGATATTCAATCCGGCACGTATCGCGCCACTCGGTCCGTCTCTTCTCGTTTGCTTTCTTCGCTCGCCGTCTCGTCCGTCTCCTGCCCCCCTCCCGCCCCATTGTTTGTTGGCTTGTGGTTTCGTTTGAGCGCCCGTTGTCGACTGGCCTCTTCTTCCTTCTCGTGCCAGGAGGTGATGAACCTCTCAGCTCCCTGCAGCACCGCCGCATGCCAGGGTACTCCCCCCTCCACCTTCGCGGCTTCCGTCCACTTTAACGTCGGTGCCTTGTCTTTGGTACGGGGATTCCGAGACAACATGGATCGGTTTTCGTAAATCCGTGGTCGGCCCCGAATGCCTTCAGGTCGTCGAGCACACACTTCGGCCAATTATGTTCCTGTCCCCCCCTACGTCGCTTCTCCCCCCCTGCCAGTTCGCCGAGCATCAGTCGTTTCGGGAGTCGCCCGTCCGGCTGCCTTGCCAATGCTCCCGCGAACAGTAGGCGTCGTTGTCGGATCGTGGCTTCAACGCTCTGGCATTCGACCCTCTTCAGCGTCTGGGCGTAAGAGAGCTGCCGGTAGGTGTCTTTCTTGCGCTTGAACCCGATAACTCGAAGGGGCAGTCGGTGGTGTATCGACCGCAGCGTCTGATAGTGGCCGCTGAGTGGTGACGATGTCATGCAGCCGTACAGCAGTGCCTCCATCGCCTCCGCCTGGAGCAAGCGGATCTTGAGTCGGAATGGCGCTTTCGGTCTGTCGAAGAGCTCCCGGCCATATCGCCTGAGGCACGCCCACGCTCCTCTGCTCCTGTAGTTGATCTCCCGGGTGAGGTCGCCATGTTCGTTGACGAGGCCACCGAGGTACCGGAACTCGGTCGTCTGGGCGTATTTCTGTCCCGCGGCTTCGATGGTCAGTGGTGGAGGCGGGGCGGGCTGTGATGTTGTAGTCGGCTTGTCCTTTGCGCGCATCAGGAGCGTCTCCGTCTTCTTCTCCGACACCGTTAGCCCGAACTCCCCGAACACCTCAACGATGATGGTCATCATTCTCGCCAGTCCTTCTGCAGACCTCGATACGACGCCGGCATCATCGGCATACAACATCCCCCATACTGCCCTCCGTACTCGGTCAAGGGGTGTCTCCTCCCCCCCCCCCGCTTCCGTCTTCCCCTCCTCCAAGCACACCAGGCTCCGCAGAACAACATCATCCTCGCTGAATCGGATGACAACGACCTCGAGGACCTCGGCGAAGAAGATGTTGAACAGCAGTGGGGATCGCACACATCCTTGTCGCACTCCCTTTGTCACGAGGAACCAGTCCGATAGTTATCCGTCGTCCATGCGCACCCGGGCCCGCATTCCATCGTGGAATTGGCGGATGACTTCGACCAGCTTCGCGGGAATCCCGGCCCTGGCCATCATCTTCCATAGCATCTCTCGGTCCACCGAATCATACGCCTTGTTCAAGTCGACGAAGCACATGTAGGGCGGTATTTTCTTNTTCGGGCGCATCAGGAGCGTCTCCGTCTTCTTTCCGACACCGTTAGCCCGAACTCCCGGAACACCTCGACGATGATGGTCATCATTCTCGCCAGTCCTTCTGCAGACCTCGACACGACGCCGGCATCATNACATCATCCTCGCTGAATCGGATGACAACGACCTCGAGGACCTCGGCGAAGAAGATGTTGAACAGCAGTGGGGATCGCACACATCCTTGTCGCACTCCCTTTGTCACGAGGAACCAGTCCGATAGTTATCCGTCGTCCATGCGCACCCGGGCCCGCATTCCATCGTGGAATTGGCGGATGACTTCGACCAGCTTCGCGGGAATCCCGGCCCTGGCCAGCACCTTTCATAGCATGTCTCGGTTCACTGAATCATACGCCTTCAAGTCGACGAAGCACATGTCGAGCGGGATTTTCTTTCTCCGCCCTAGCTCCTGGAGGCGGCGCACGACGAACAGCATGTCGACAGTGGATCGCTCGGGTCGAAATCCGCACTGTTCCTCCGGGAGGATGTTGTTGGCTTCGCAGAAGGCGCTTAGACGGTTGGTGATGATCTTGATGGGGACCTTGCCTATGTGAGATAGTAGCGAAATCCTCCTGTAGTCGTTACAGTTGGACCGGTCACCCTTCTTGTACAGCACCTTGATGGTTGCATCCTTCCATTCTCACGGAATATCTCCTCCGTTCCACACCTTGACGAGGATGGTATGGAGGTGTCGCAGGACGAACGGTTCGTCGTCATCGATCTTGAGCAACTCGGCAGGGAGGGAGTCATGGCCGGGTGCAGGTTAATGGTCTAAAGACTACGGTATACGTTTTCATGAGTACATCCCCCGCCCGCCTCGGGACACGCAGCTCTTCTGGACGCGGGCCATCACGGGAGTTGCCATCGGGGGAGGCATGCCTCTCGTGTACAGCATCTTGGGAGATCTAGTGAGCAGCACGGGGAGGACGGAGGCGTCTGGGTTGATCGGTATCGCCATCGGCATGGGGTTGGGACTGGGTCAGGTACGAGTTAGGCTAGCCCTTGTATATGGCTCTTACGGCTCGCCAGGGCCAGGGCCCGTGACGGCCTTCTTATTTCGCTGGCGCTCCATTAGCTTGTGACGATCAAATTGCCTGTTCCGGCTGTGCGGTACATTGCGTTGCCCCTAACTACTTGTTCGAAGCAATCCGAAGAACTCTTCTTTATCGTGGTCGAGCACCTGTACCACGAGCAACTTTCACATCGAAACGCACGGTTATCTTTGAAGAAGTTATGCATCAAGTGTTTCGGAAAGACTTGATGTTTTGTTTTGCATGCCTTTCCATCATCACCTCCAAAGTGATCAGAGGTACGGCTGTAGCTTGTCTCCATAGCGATTAGAGTCATCGGTGCTCCTTCCCGAAGAGGAACAGCTGAGATGTGTGCCAGCGGGAAACCTCACTGGGTTTGCCGGATTGTATCCTCCCTACCTCGATGGCGGTACGCAGACAGGCGTTATTTGAAGTTTTTGATACGGATTGCTTGCTTGCATGGCCCCTGGAGTGCGATCGAAATGGTTTCTCTCTGCATGCTCGATCCTGCGCTACTGGCCATGGGCCGAGAAATACGTCTGTGTCGTCGTTTCCCTCATGCGAGTATCCCGCCTCCGTCACTCTTGTTTTGTATTTTTTTCTCCCATCATTGGACTCTGTCATCTGCCCCTCTGGCCCCTACCCTCCACTTCTACTAGCTAGAAGTCACAAACGGGGTCACACAGGAAGGGGGGGTTAGACTCCCTCCTGCGGTTCCTGCCTGAGATACTTATGTCTTGCCCTGAAGGTGATGAAAGTTTACAAGACTTCAATCTCTGCATGTGTACCTTCTCCCCCCACCCCCTCTTATTGTTCTACGTATGGTACCCCCCCTCCCCCCCTCCGGCGTATAGTCACTTCGCGCAAAGGGGGTGATCGCACCACGTTGCAGTTATGCAGCAATGCTTATTACTACCGCTGGAAGTGAAAGCACCAGGAAATAAATTTAGTCATTCGCGGCTGTCATCCGTATGCAATGAAGTAAGCACAAGATGTCGAGCACCCTTAGCAGGATGCAGCGCACCCCTTCACGCGACTCGCCGAATACCTCACGGCGCTTCGCGCTTGGTGATGTGAGAGCCTGGTCCGGTGGGAACCCGGCGTGCTCCGCCCCAGCGTTGTAGGGACGCGAGGTCAATGGTCTATCGACTCCGGCATGCTTCGCTATGAGTACACCCCCCCTCCGGTATGGCAGGGATGTGAGTAGGTCAATTGCCCAACGACTACGGAATGTGGTTGCATGAGTATACGCCGGCTATCTTGGAACTTGTTCCCTCTCGTTATCTAGCGGGGCGATCTCATCCCCTCTTTGTCGTGCCTGCGTGAACAAGGTGGTTGCCGGTTTCACTGGGAGTTCCACGAGCTTGGGGTGGCGGCTTCCGTTCCTGCTGATGGCGCTGCCCTGCTTCGCGCTCGCGTTGCTCGTGTTGGTGGCCACGAGGGACCCCGCGAGAGGAAGGTAGGTGTCCCAGCAAGCAGTCACACGCAAGCTACCAGGATGACTCGTTTTTAGCGACCGTGGTGTGATGCAAACAATTATCAGCAATGGTTATTATTCCTCGTTTCTGGCTTGGTTCTAAGCGGTCTTGGTGTGCTGCAAACAACACAATCGTGCAAGAAGCTGGGCTAGCGTAATCACACCTCATCATTCCCTCGAGTATCACACCACGAAAAATGAGCGAAGTGGTTGGTACAGACACACCTTTCGAGTAGCACCACTCAAAACGATGGCCCTGCAACGAGAAGCAAACAATCGACACAGGAATGACCAAGAAACAGAGTAACAGTCACAACCGTAGGTGGCATGGCGCAAGACACCACACCCCGTGGACCGATTTTCAAAGCACGATTACAGTACCCCCCGATGAAGAGGATGCCGAAGTCACACGGTACGTTTACGGGAAAATCTCTCGACGAGATGGCTTCAACGCCGTCGTTTTCGGCACCGCCACGGCTTATTCCTGCGGAGTAAAGATCGGTCCAGCGGGTGTCATGTCTTGTGCAACCCACGGTATTGCTGGACTTTCGGGCAGGGCAGATACTACAAGCACTTGGCCTGAAACAGCAATCACGGCCGTCTTTTAAGCTGGACGCTACTGCGAGTTTAGCCGAACACACTTCGTCGTGTGCTCTCGTAAACACTCAGGCTGGAAGCAGGCCTACAGGAGCATTTTCGAGCGGGGGGCGAGTACAACGAGCGGCTGAACCTGAACGGCCTGCTCATGCTCGCCAAGAGCCCAACCGTACTCCTAGTTCTTGCCCAGGGGGTTCCCGGCACCTTGCCGTGGGGGGTAAGAGCGACTGCTTCTCCCTAGCTAGGCTCGTCTGATTTGCCCATGTGGGCGCCGCTAGAACAGGCCATCTTGTCCTCGTGTTGGGTGGCTGGAGTTGGCTCTGGCTGACGTGTAGAACAAGTTGAAGTTTAAAAATAGCTGCTGCCAGAGTTGTGCGAAAGGACTTTTGTGTCGCTGAATTGCCTCTCCCGGTGGCGGCTGATTACCACAAATCGTTTTGGGAACGAGCACGTGTCAGTACTAATTTTTTGTGTCAAGTGGCGAACAAAAGGGCGTATATTTGCCTACTGCTCCGCTTTGGTTCGAGGTGTACACATTTCCGGAAGCGAGTGGTACTCGTGTCGCCGTACATTCGCACTGTTCGACGTAAGCTTGTCCACACCTTGAGCTACGGCGTATCACCCCTGCAGGGGCACGATATGATCATGACCCTCCCCCTCCCCCCCCTCCCCGTAAGGATGATGACCAATGTCTGGTTTATCCTTGTCCTTGTGAAGCGTAGCTTGGGCCGCCCAAAACCCGGCATATCGCTCCGTCCGGGCATTGCAGGAATGCGAAGTCTATGGTCTACCGGCTACGGCATGCGATGACATGAGCACGTACCCCCTCCCCCCCCCTGCCCTTCTCCGTCTCAGGTGATTACGGTATTTCTCCCTGATTATCTTCACAAGCAGAGAGGCATGTCGATTAAGACGGCAACTGTAGTCGGCATGGTGTTCGGGGCGGCCACCGTGGCAGGCCAGGTGGTAGGGGCAAAGGTCGGCCAGAACCTGTACAATCGACGGCCTGAGAATCAAGCGCTTCTCATGGGGGTAAGGACCCTGCGTGCTATATTATTTCCGTGCTGTGTCCGCCCTTCTGAACACTTTCATCAGTCTCGTCTACCGTATGCATAGGTAGCATACCGAATATGACACAAGATAACACACCCCCTGGACCAATTTTCAAACCTCAATTCTTCAACCACAGGTGTCGTAGCGCCGAAAACGGTGGCGTTGAAGCTGTCTCGTCGAGAGCTTTGAAAATTGATCCAGGGGGTGTGTTATCTTGTGCCATTTACTGTACCGTAGGTGACACAAGATAACACACCCCCCGTAGCGATTTTTCGAAGCTTGGCTGCTTCAAAGCAATAACAGCGGCGGTTCCGAAAATGCTGGCGGCGTTGGAACCGCCTTTCTCGTTGAGAGCTTTTCCGAAAACGTGGCGTATGATTCATGTATCCTCTTCATGGTGGAGAAATCGAGCCTCGAAAATTAGCCGAAGGGATGTGGTATTTTGCGGCATTTACTGTGAGATTTCACACCCCCTGCACCGATTTTCAAGGATCGATTGCTCCTTCCCGGAAAGAGAGGCGGTGCCGAAGATGTAGTCGTTTGGAACCTGTTGACCTTGTCGTCGAGATCTTTCCGAAGATGCATAATTTTAGGCTGGCATCCTCTTCGTCGTTGAGTATGTAGTCGAGCTTTGAAAAATCGATCGGTCCAGGCGATGGTATCTGTATCACCTACCGCACGTGTACCGTTGCTGTGCTTGGTAACGGTTTGCTTCTACAGCAGTGGGAGCCTCCCCAGATTAGGCGGTCTCTGAGCAAGACGGTCGGTTGCCCGATATACGGCGGGTGAGATATCTTGCTACAGGTAAAACACCCAATTCAAGCTGTTTCATGCTTTGAAAGACTCGGTGGCCCCTATATATAAGGCGGTTACTCTCAGCTTCCTTTGGGCGAGGAACCCCCCGTAGGTGTTTGTCCCCAAGGTGTTTCACCCTTTGGGTCTGGTCATCCCGCCGCCGAGACGCAGCGATATGACTCCGGGCAACGGGGATGATTGTGCCACGTTGTGTTGGATTGGTCAAGCACCCTCGAGGCAGGTACACAGTCCTTACAACTGACTCTGGAAGTGCAAGCACCAGAGAAAATATTAAGTCGTTCGCAGCTGTCATCCGTATGTAGTAGGCACAAGATGCCGAACACCCTTAGCAGAATGTGCGTCGTGTGCGATCTTCTTCCTCCGAGCTGCCTGTGACACGACCACGCGACGCTCGTGGTTGGGCGCACGGCATTCCAGCTACGAAGCCGAAATCAAACCGTTGGGCAGCGCTGACTAGTCTAATGGTTTGAATTCGGCTTCTGTAGCTTTCCCCTCCCGTTCGACTAGGCAGCGCTGACTTTCATAGTCTAATGGTTTGATTTTGGCGTGTAAAGCTCTTCCCCGCTCCACGCCTCATTTGCGACCAAGTCCAACACCAACACCACAAACAACGGCCACTCCCGCAATATGACTCCGGCACAGCCCCCCCCCCTCCCATCATTGGACTCTGTCGTCTGCCCCTCTGGCCCCTATCCTCTACTTCTACCAGCTAGACTACCCAACCGGGGTCACATAGGAGCGGGGGGTTGGACTCCCTCCTGCGGTTATGTGAGAGGCTGGTCCATAATTTGTGGTCGAGTAGATTATGTTGTGCGGGGTCGAGAACCCTCACACCGCCCAAAGGGGATGATCGTACCACGTTGTACTAAATTGGTCAAGCACCCTCGGGCCAGTTACACAGTGCTTACAACTGTCTCTGGAAGTGAATGCACCAGAAAAATAAATGAAGTCATTCACAGCTGTCATCCGTATGCAACGAAGCAAGCACAAGATGCCGAAAGCCGTTAGCAGGATGCGGCGCACCCTTTGTGCGATTCGCCGAATACCTCACGGCGCGTCGCGCGTGGTGATGTAAGAGCCTGGTCCGGTGATAACCCGACGTGCTCCGTCCCGGCTTTGTAGGGATGCGAGTTCAATGTTCAAACGAATACGGCATGCACGACTTTGAGTACCNGTCGAGAACCCTCACACCGCCCAAAGGGGATGATCGTACCACGTTGTACTAAATTGGTCAAGCACCCTCGGGCCAGTTACACAGTGCTTACAACTGTCTCTGGAAGTGAATGCACCAGAAAAATAAATGAAGTCATTCACAGCTGTCATCCGTATGCAACGAAGCAAGCACAAGATGCCGAAAGCCGTTAGCAGGATGCGGCGCACCCTTTGTGCGATTCGCCGAATACCTCACGGCGCGTCGCGCGTGGTGATGTAAGAGCCTGGTCCGGTGATAACCCGACGTGCTCCGTCCCGGCTTTGTAGGGATGCGAGTTCAATGTTCAAACGAATACGGCATGCACGACTTTGAGTACNGCGGGGACCCTGCCTTGCGTCATGATGATCCGGTACTCGGGAGGCATCTTCGGCGTCTACGCGCTGTACGCGATGGCGGGGGGATTCCTGGCCGCCATGACGGGGCCCAACATCAGATCGGTGATGATGTGAGTGCTTGCACGTTGAGATAGACGTCGCTTCGCTCTTTTCTACCGGGCTGACGTTTTGGTTCTGTGCGGGGGGATCTCCTGCTGTGCTCTTTCGGGTTTAGTGTTTCAGTTTTGTGCGGGGGGATCTCCTGCTACGCCCTTTTTCTTAGGGTTGGAGTTTTTGGTTTTGTGCGGGGGGATCCCCTTCCTCCACCAACGCGTCCCTACTTAGGGTACCTACCCAGCACCTCCCCTGATCTATATGGGGTTCGTGGCGGTGTGGTACGTACGATTGACGGGGGCCCCGACAGAGCACTGCGTTCTCTCTGCTCTAAATATCTTTCTACACGCTGCTACCATTTCTATCCATTAGGTAGAGTCAACCTTCTTGCTGCGCCTTTGCCAAACAAGGGGATGTCCTCCTGTGAACATGATCGAAGCACCGCTATTTGTACCAGTACAACATGAAAATGGGGTAACCTTGTTAACACCAGGTACCCTACACCACATGTGGCCGGAATCGTGCGCCCCCCCCCCCCCCCCCCCCCCCCCCCCCCCCCCCCCCCCCCC